GAGCGCATTAAGGGCCCAGTGTGCTGCTGCATAACCCCTTGTCCCAAGGCTTGTTCAAGTTCCCACTTCGAACTTCTCGTCTATGGGACTTCCAACCTACGATGGCACCACTAACCCATCAGACCATTTAAGTGCATTCGTGTTGAAAATGCAGCTCATCAATGTGTTTGATGTTGGTCTGTGTAAGGCATTTCCTGTGACTTTTGGTGGCTAGTGCCAGATGTGGTATACATCTCTTCATGAAGCCGTTATCAAAATGTTTGAGTGATTAATAGTATTATTCTCCTCTAAGTTCGTGTCACAATGGCGTCGTAAACTCAATGTGTCGGCATTGATCAACTACCATCAAGGAAGAGAAGAACCCCTCTCCAAATTCTTTGACAGATGAAATGCGAAAGCCTGCAAAATACAAGGCATATTTTCTGAAGTAGCGACAGGAAAATTGAGAATGTCCACACATATTAGAGAGTTGAGGTGAGCTTTGATAAAGAATAAATACAACTTACCAATATGACCAAATCCGGACAAGTTAGTAAGGCAGGCTATCTCATTAGAAGAAGCCTTGACATTGGAAGAATAATGGAGATCCAAAGCAAGGAAGCATGATGAAGAAAGGAAGAAAGAAGCGCATGATCCCGCCCCAAAAATCATACATTCTCCAAAAGCTCGAGTCTGAAGGCACGAAGTCAACAAGAGCAACTCTAGAAGATAAGTATATGCCAATGGCAGAGAGCGAGAGGGAAGTTTGGATGTAGGATGATGGCATAACTACCTCCCTAAGAATCAGGAATACCAAGATCGTCCCAGAGAACACCGCATGGTAGACTGGAATCTAGTAATCAAGGTTATCAACCCGGTTTGACTTGGACCCGTCCACAAAAATGGGCTACAGTAACCCATTGGACCATCCGCCCGGATCTAGTCCAACCCGGACGGTTGGCCTGACGTAGCGGGTCAGCGGGATTGTCTCTCAGCGGAGCAGTCGTGATGCTCTTCCCACCCACAGCCTCTACTTTCCATTCACCGGAGCTCCATGTCGCTAGCGTCGCCTCCTTCCGCGCCCAATTCGCCTTCACTCGAATGTGACCCTTAATCCTTTGGCTCCAACCCTTTGCCGAAAAGAAGCATATAAAAGAAAAAAAAATAAGAAATTATAGGTTGGAGACCTGGAATCCCGATGATGAATGAGGAGATCTGGATGGCGACAAAAGATATCGACGATAATCAGAGAGAGATTGCATGGCGAGTTGAAAAATAAATGAATTCGACGATGGTCGATTGACTGAGAGAGTTGAGTGGTTGTAGGCATGGTTGCAGGATGATTGCACGAGAGACGTGGAAGGCGATTACAAAGGAGGATTCCCCCCTCCCCCCTATTTTGCACGTGAGATATGGAAGGGGATTGGGTTTTTCCCCTTTTTATTCTGATCTCCATTTTTCAGAAAAAGAAAAGGGAAAGAAGAGAAGAAGTGGGGTGGGGTGGGTTCAAGGTGAGGTATCGGTAGGTAGGGTAGGGTCTGTGTTCAATGGAGCGGATATTTACTGAATGATACTTTAAATTAAATTGTATTTGTAGTTCTTGAAGTTTCAAAATAGGCTAAATTGCAAGTTTGGTCACTTGAATTACTACTAAATTTCACGTTAGCCACTAGAATTACTTTATTCCATCTGTAGTCACATAAATTAGGTTAACTGTTCAAGTTTGGTCACTGGCAGTTAGTCTTCGTTAACTTTTGCTGATGGCGCTCAACTCATATAGTTAACCGTTAAATGAGTGACGTGGCAATTAAAAAATAATAAATTAATAAAATTTAATTTTTAATAATTTCCATCTCATTATTACAATAAATTAAAAAATAATTAAAACAAATAAATATCACATTTTTTAATAATTTCACAATAATTAAAAAATGAGTTAGATCTGAGCAAATTTCCATCCACTCCATCGCTACTCCCTCCGACAAACCATCATCCACCGACACCAGATCCGTCGCCGCGGCGACGAAGATCCAGGCGGCGTATCGGGCCGGTGCGGTCAGCACGCTCTACCGCACGATCTCGATTGTGGAGGCCGAGGCAGGGGAGATCGAGTCGCGGCCGGCGGCAGGAGACGGTGGACTGCTGAGGAGGGAGAAGGCGAGGGTGAACGAGAAGCTGATGCGTCTGCTGCTGAGGCGATGGAGGTATAATATAGAAACAATCCAAATTTCATTCCCAGATACCTAGATATTGGATCTTCTTTTCTTATTTCATTCCCAGCCCCAAAACCCAGATTTCATTCAATCCCATTTTCAATTCGACTACTTGCCATGCATTTTAGAAGCCACCAGCAATGGCGAGATTCAGGAAGCTACTTTTGCTCTCCTTCTTCGTCTTCTTGTTCACGTCCCCTCTCTTCCTCTCTACCGCTTCCTTAAACAACGATGACGATGAGCAACCACAACTGCCCAAGAAAAAGAGCAACAGCAACAGCCTATCATCGTCACAAGCAACACCAGGCACCAAGCTTTCCAAATCTACCATATCCTCGGCTAACAAGAACCAAACCATGAAACTCACCGAGAAGACTACTACCAACTCGGCTACAATTGGAGATGCTCTGTCTACTTCTTCTTCGAGCGGTAAGAAGAACTAGGACAAACTTGTTACCTCCAAATACTTTAATTCTACTAAATCAACATCACCCACCAAGTCCAAGGCCAGCCGTAGTAGTGATTCTCTACTTACCACGAAGAAAAGCTCACCAATTGCACAGCTGATACTCCTTAGCTCATCAAGAAGAAAGACAAGAAGCAGCTCAATTCCACTTCCACACCCACCAAAACCAAAACCCTTAAAGTTTTAGAAGAACGACGGTGACGATCTTGAGGCGATGGATGGCGGCGGCGGTGGTCACGTGCACGTGCATATGTATGCCCCTCACGCCGTTGTTTGTGACATTTTTTTGTTTTAATCCTTTTTTTAATTTATTGTAATAATGAGGTGGAAATTATTATAAATAATTTTTATTATTTTATTAATTTTTTAATTGCCACGTCACTCATTTAACGGTCAACTATAAGAGTTGACGGCCACATCAGCAAAAGTTAACGGAGACTAACGGTTAGTGATCAAACTTGAAATGTTAACCTAATTTAAGTGACTATGGATGGAATACAGTAATTTTAATTGCTAACGTGAAATTTACTAATAATTCAAGTGACCAAACTTGCAATTTAGCCTTTCAAAATAATACGTTATATACTTATAGCTAAAATTAAATTATATTTTTAGTCCTTCAAATATCAAACTATGACATTGGTATCTTTAACTTTTGAAATGTGCAAAAACAAGCTAATTCGAGCTAATACGGTCAGCCCATTAACCCTCCACCCACTTGCTCGACCGAGCCAACTGGGAGTGTTCAAATAGTTACCATTGTAATTACCAAACCAAATAAGCCTAAAGTCTATTAATTATGGAATACAATATCATAACCAAACCGTCCAAACTAATACAACCACCAAATTTACCAAATTAAATTTTAATCGATTTGGTTAATTGGTTAACCAAATTAATCAATATAACATCATATTTATCAATAAATGAGAAAAATTCTAGGTTAATTCATCAATTCATAATTTATATCATGAATAACAACACATAATAATAGTTAACCCTTAACATACATACATATATATATATATATATATATATATATATATATATATATGGTGCCGTATTCGGTACACCCACCTTTTCGGGTGCACTCAGTGCACCCGCCTCATAATTGTCATTTTGACCATGCGATTCATGTCAAAACAGTATCAATTGTTGCTTATGATATTATGAACAAGAAGCACATGAATTTGAAAAATATTCATTCAAAATTTACTTTAATTCGGAGGATTTAGGATTTAGGGATTTAGGGTTAGGGTTTAGGTTTACAATTTGAGATTTTGGGTTGGGATTCAAAATTGAATGTTAAGGGGTTAGGGTAATGGATTGATTTGTTATGATTCTATGTCATATCATCATATTACATTGAGAGTACTAATCAAAGTTCAAAATTTGATGTATTATGGACGCTTTTAGAGTTGGGTGCACTGATTGCACCCAAAAAAGTGAGTGCACCGAAGTAGCCACCATATATATATTATATTATATTATATTATATTATATTATATTATATGCAACTAATACAATTATCATACAGTCAATAGAAGTTTTCACCTAACAAAAATATATGACAATGGTATGAGGTTAATGAATTGTTGTGTTTGTATTAATTGACTTAATTAGCCTCCTATCAATTATCATAGGCTGGAAAAGACCTTTCTTTCAAGTTTGCATCCAACATAATGTATGAGTTTTATCTAAATTAAGCGTCCATATGTTGTGGTTTACACTCTACAAATACAAATATACGATATAGAAACAATATCGAGCTTTATTTTTTATGAGACTAAAAAGGAGGAACATTTGACTCTTGAGTGGCTATGGAAAGTATTAAGTAGGGATGGCAATGGGTCGTGTCGGGTGCGGATAGTGCATATCTGTTACCCTACCCAAAGTAGTTCGGGTTTTATCCATACCCACATAAGAAACGAGTAGAAGATCAAAACCATGTCAATACTCGTTCGGGTTTCGGGTATCCACGGTTATCCATGGGTAATAATTTTTCTTCATAACTCCAACCAATATGTTAACAATCCCGCGTATTCTCATATTTTGTAAGAGGAAAATGCAACAATAATTCACTAGAATGAAGAAAATTAATTAAAACCATACAATTTCAAGATTATACTATATTTATATGCTAAATATTAAATATGTTAGAGAAAAATAATGATCATTTCTAGACAAAATACCAATGTTGTCATAACCGAACCGGAGCATGACTCGATAATTTGGACAACTCGTACTTTAATGGTCCAACCGCCATTAGACCGTTTAAAAACCGTTAGAGAACCGGTACCTAATAAACGTCATCATATAAATAGGTGACCCTTCTTAATCAGAGTTCGTCTCTTTCTTTCAAAATGTTGAAATAGAAATTAGGTTTCAGTTTGAGAGCCCGATGTTTTTTATTTTTATCAATTTTTTATTTTCTGAATTTTTTTAATTAAACTTAATGGCTTAATGGGAAAAACCAGACGAGCGGCTCGAGCGGTTAACCGCCTCGGCCGCTTGCCAGCCGATACATAAAACCGAAGCGGTTTTTAGACTTTTTGAGCCGCTTTGGTGACCAGGTGGCGGTTTTACCGGTCGGGCCGGACGACTCGGTTTGGCTTTAATAACACTGCAAAATACATATGAATGTGTATAATCGAGCGGGTTCGGATTGGATAGTGAGAAACCCATGCCCACCCATTACCCGCAATATTCGGGTTCGGGTTTACCCGTACCCACTAAAAGTCTTTCGGGTTCGGATTTTACCCTACCCGATTATGTCGGATTCGGGCGGATATCCACGGTTACGGATATTTTTGCCATCCCTAGTATTAAGTGTGTGTATATAATATATACTAGATATATGGCTAGTTACTTAACCGGTTAATTTGATTTGATTGGTTAGCAGTGTCTGAAACCAAAGCAAATTACGTAAACAAAACAAGCTAAAAAAGTTAACCAATCCAAACCAATTATCCAAATTAATCAAACCAATCATTCAAATTAATCAAACCAAACTATCAATTTACAAACGATTAAAACAATTACCTTCGTTTGAAGGAAAGTAAACGGCGGTGTGATTAGTTTTAGAGAATAATATAAGTATGTTTATTGCCTTTCTTTAGTGGGCTTAATGTTTATATTTATAATTTATTTATAGTCATCAATCAATCATAATCTGAAGCCACAAAAAAAAAAAACAAAAAAAGGGAAGTCACAGCTCCACCAAAGCACCACCAGCCACTACCAGCCGCCCTAAAAGTAAACGCTCCACGGGCAAATGGGATTAGATATTAGATCATATTCACTCAAAACAATAATCATATTCACAGGAAGCTTTTTATTCGTTTTGTTTCTCCTCAGCATCCACCCATCAGTTCGTACAGCCTTCCCTTCGCTGTTCATTTTTCACAATAATAATAATAATCATGAAAACAAATTAATCTGAGTTTCTCTCTCTGTGATTTTCCTTTTTTTCTTTCTTGTTATCTTTTTCCTCCATAGTGTAGTTGCCATTATCATATCAACAACCAGACGTCATACATCCACAAACAACATCCCTTTCTCCCCTCTTTCTCCTCTCCCCCCACATTTTGTTATATTGTTTTTCTACTCAAGGTCAATGGGGGCTTCATTGCAGTCCTCAATTCCTTGCTGGTCGCCCTTAGACCTGGTAATCATGTACTTTGCTCCTCCTACCTTGTCCTCCACCACCACCATCACCATCTCTCCATCCTATTCCTCTCCTTCTTCTTCTTCTTCCTCCAGCTCTTTCCCTCTTGCCCACCACCATTCTCCTGTTAATGAATGAATAGCGACCATGGTAGTAGCTAAAAGAGACAAGCTTGCTTCTCTGTCTTTCTCGGCTTCTTCCTGTCCATCCCCACCATCATTTTCCTCTTCTTCTTTGATTGGAGTTTTGTGGGTTACTCTGCTGATCCAATTTCTGCAGCTGCTTCCTCCATGCCAAGCTCAACCTCCAACCCTGTGCAGCCCAATTGATCGAGCTTCCCTCCTGTCCTTCTTCTCCAACATCTCCTCCACGTCATCTCCTCCATTAAATTGGTCCTCTGCTGAGTGCTGCAGATGGGAAGGAATTGGGTGCGATGCAATCAGTGGCCGCGTGACCCATCTGGAGCTGCCCTTTAGAGGCCTCGTCGGCACCCTCTCCCCGTCGCTCGCCAACCTCACCCGCCTCTCTCATCTCAACCTCTCCCACAATCGCCTCTATGGAGTCATCCCACCTGCCTTCTTCTTCTCTTCTCTGCCCACCCTCCAGATTCTTGATCTCAGCTACAATCGCCTCTCCGGTGAATTGCCATCCGATGCTAGCAACAACAGTACCGCTGCTCTTGCCACCCGGATTGTGGATTTGTCCAGCAACAATTTCCACGGGGAATTACTTCCTCGGACCCTGTTCATTCGGCCAGCCAGGAATCTGACCATCTTCAACGTCAGCAACAACACCTTCACCGGCACCATTCCGTCCACTATCTGCTCCTCTTCATCCTCGCTGGCTGCTCTCGACTTCTCCTTGAATGATTTCAGCGGCCCTATCCCTCCGGGCTTCGGTACGTGTTCGCAGCTGCGGGTTCTGCGGGCCGGATTCAACAATCTGTCGGGCTCCATCCCTGACGACATCTACACGATTAAGTCGCTGGAGGAGCTCTCCTTGTCCGTCAACCACCTTACCGGCCCCATCAGCAACGCGACGGTCAACCTCGGCCGCCTCAAGACCCTGGAGCTCTTTTCCAATCAGCTGGTTGGTCCAATACCTGAAGAAATAGGCAGGCTGCCCAAGTTGGAAACTTTGCAGCTCCATGTCAACAATCTGACCGGCTTCCTGCCCTCGTCGCTGGCCAACTGTACCAATCTGGTCATCCTGAATTTGCGGGTCAACTCCCTCGCAGGCCAGCTTGACGACTTCAACTTCTCCACCCTCCAGCGCCTTACCACCCTTGATCTTGGTAACAATGCCTTCACAGGTAACCTTCCCTCCAGCCTTTTCTCCTGCACGTCGCTAACTGCCATTAGATTTGCCAGCAATCAGCTCTCTGGCCAGATATCAACCGACATACAAGCCTTGCAGTCTCTTGCTTTCCTTTCCATTTCCAACAATAACCTCAGCAACTTCACTGGTGCTCTGAAATTTTTGACGGGTTGCAAGAACCTCTCTACTCTCATTCTCTCCAAGAACTTTTACTTTGAGGCCATACCACAGGAGGGAAACATAGTAGACCCAACTCGTTTTCAGAATATCCGGGTTTTGGCCTTGGGTGGATGCAAATTCTCTGGCCAGGTACCTGCTTGGCTGGCCAACCTCAAGAGCCTCGGGGTCCTGGATTTGTCCTTCAACCAAATCACGGGCTCCATTCCCAGTTGGTTTGGTAGTCTGCCAAGTCTTTTCTACATGGACTTGTCCAATAATCGACTCTCAGGGGACGTTCCTGTGGAACTAATGGAGCTACAAGCCCTCGTACCACCGCAGTTGGTTCAATCAGTGGAGAAGACTAATCTGGAGCTGCCCGTGTTTGTTAACCCGAATAACGCTACCATTACCAATCTGCAGTACAACCAACTTGCCAGCCTCCCACCAGCAATATACCTGGGCAACAACAGCCTTAGTGGGAGCATTCCAGAACAGGTTGGGCACCTCAAGGGCCTTCATGTTCTGGATCTCAGCTCAAACAACTTCACTGGGATCATCCCAGATGAGATATCCAACCTCACTAATCTAGAAAAGTTGGACCTTTCTGGGAATCACCTATCTGGAGAAATTCCTGCAGAACTAAAAGGGCTGCATTTCTTGTCGTGGTTCGACGTCGCAGGTAACAACCTTCAGGGCTCAATCCCTACTGGAGGTCAGTTTGACACTTTCTCCAGCTCCAGCTTTGCAGGAAACCCGGGATTGTGCGGTCCAGTTTTGCAGCGCTCTTGTCCTGGTTCACCAGAAGATGCACGTCCGACTTCGCCTCGCAAAAAGAAAGCTGCAAATGCTAAAGTTGTTGTTGGGCTTGTTCTAGGCATCTGTTTTGGCACTGGTTTATTGATTGCTGTTGTGGCACTGTGCGTACTGTCTAAGAGAAGGATCATCCCAGGAGGAGATAGCGACAAGATTGAAATGGAGACATTTTCCAGTAACTCCTACCCCAGAATCTCTCCAGACTCTGACAAAGACACCAGCCTAGTTATGTTGTTTCCCAACAACGCTAGCGAGATAAAAAACTTCACCATATCAGAACTCTTGAAGGCAACCGACAACTTTAGTCAGGCTAACATTGTTGGCTGCGGGGGTTTTGGACTGGTCTATAAAGCAACATTAGCAAATGGGACAAAGCTGGCTGTCAAGAAGCTCTCAGGAGACTTCGGGATGATGGAGAGAGAGTTCAAAGCAGAGGTAGAGGTGCTGTCAACAGCGCAACATGAGAACCTGGTGTCCCTGCAAGGTTACTGTGTCCACAATGGCTTCCGGCTGCTAATTTATTCATATATGGAGAATGGAAGTCTGGATTACTGGTTACATGAGAAGACTGAAGGTGCATCCCAACTGGACTGGCCTACTCGACTGAAGATCTTAAGAGGTGCAAGTTGTGGTGTGGCTTACATGCACCAGATATGCGAGCCACACATAGTGCACCGGGATATCAAGTCCAGCAACATTCTCCTCGATGAGAAGTTTGAAGCACACGTGGCAGATTTCGGGTTGTCCAGGTTGATTCTTCCGTATCGCACTCATGTTACAACCGAGCTTGTTGGTACTCTTGGCTACATTCCTCCAGAATATGGTCAAGCATGGGTAGCCACTTTGCGAGGAGATGTGTACAGCTTCGGAGTTGTTATGCTAGAGTTGCTCAGTGGGAAAAGACCTGTCGAAGTCTTCAAGCCAAAGATGTCAAGAGAATTGGTTGGATGGGTGCATCATATGAGGAACGAGGGAAAACAAGAACAGATATTTGACCCGATCCTGCGAGGAAAGGGCTATGAACAAGAAATGGTGAAAGTGTTGGATGTGGCCTGCATGTGTGTCAACCACAACCCGATGAAGAGACCTACCATCCAGGAGGTTGTAGATTGGCTGAAGACCGTAGGCTCACTGAGAGATCAGAACAAGAGTTAGTGAGAGCTGAAGTTAATTTCAGCACAAACAAAGAACACATATATGTATACTTGCACAGAAAAGGGAGGTGAAAGAAATGCCACGGGTTTCTACTGCAGATTTTATATCATTTTTCTCGTGTAAATTATGAAATTTTCGGACGATATGGTTTCAGATATGTACAAAGAACATAATGTAAGTTAAGTGAAGACCTGATTTAACTCATGCATCTTCTTGTAGCAGCAGCTGGAACATCCTCTACCAAAGAATTGTCATCATAGCAAGAACTTGTAGTTTCCAAGATGCATATATTACTGTTAAGCTTCTCTGTTCCTAACAGACATGGGGATGAGTCCATGGCAGTGGCAGGATGAAAGGCAAAAGAGTCAGTGCAGTACTTCTATCCTCAATTCCCTCTATTTCAGTCCCAACATCAACTTGCGTTCTTGCTGAACCTATTGATGACTTGATCGACATTTCTCCAGTTTTCAGCTGAACTTTCAAATACGACCAAGCAGGTATAGGGAATTAATATCCCATCGTCTTTCTTCCAAGTTGAAAATAGTTCGGTGAGGCATTTCATCGAACGGGTTCCCGGCATCCCCAGTCACAGAATGATGATAACAAGCCTTATTGTTGCTACGTATCCATTGGCCACTGACAAGACATTAACATACCTAAGAGAAGCTGCGAAATTGTCGACTGCACGAAAGTCGAAAGATGATAGTTGTTCATTAGAACCCCAATCTCTGGGCCATTGACGCTCGTTAGGCGTTGTAAGTTGTAACTACCGAAAGCACTCGGTTTATTTTCCCTTCTACTCCGTAGAGGCCGAAAAATGATAAAGGGGACTATGTACATTGTGTTTGAGCCAAAAACCAGGCCTATTTCTAATTTTAGGTGAATAACCATACATAACTCAATCACCATTTGTCACATCAGCGCCAATTTTCTTTCTTGAAAAACCTTTAATTTTTTCCCTCCTAAAATTTAACGGATGATTTCTTACTCGTTTTAAGTCGGAATTTAAATTTTTACACAATTAGATCAGATTAAATGTATTCTTTAAAATGATATTCGCTTTGATATATGTTTTGAACAAAAAAAATTGAGCCATTTTTACCAGTATATACCATATGGTATTTGACTGGTATCAAATAAGAACATACCAGATGGTATGAAAAAGTTTACCATGGTGGTATGAACATATCAATACTGTAGGATAATTGAATACATGATAGTAGCTATATACTAACTGTCATTTACGACTTTCAACATTGTGTACCACAAGATACCACCACATAGCAGGGTGGTATTGTATGATATTTTTTGGTCATGTATTTTGTTCACCCAGAAATTTGTAGATCAAAATAGATCATGATGAACTCGTTCATTATGTGCAAAAATTTTCAAAAAACGACATAAAAATGAAGAAGATACCACATGATATGCAGTTGAAAATGGATCTCATTTTGTAGAGCACAACGAACTCGTTCCATCTGTGGAAAAAAAATTGAAATTCGAGTTAAAACGAAGAAGGTATGAGTCGATTAAAAAAACAAGGGAAATAAAAATGTCTTTAATTCTCCACCATTATATCTGGATTTTTTGGGCCCACTTAAATATGATGGCTGAGATTTGGTTACTCATGGTGAGTAACCATGGGGTTACTGATGGGAACTTCCACTCTTCAATGACTGCGGCCCGACGAACCCATCAGCCGTACGGCAACCACCCCGTGCGGAACCTCCCTCCCACCATTGTTCACGACCCGCGGAAACCAACCCTTCACCGACTGCCATACGATCTGCTAATGATATGTGACCACTAACTTATTTCTATTGTTACTACTATTCCAGGTTAAAGTGCAATCACGATCGGGTGTAGTATATTGGAAGTGAAGTTTAATTATAAACCTAAATGGCAGGGGCGGAACCACTTGAGGCCAATGTAAGTCATTTGCACCACATTGGTCCAGAAAATGTAGAGTAAATTTGCTTATACGATTGTGGATAGAATACAATATCTTTTCTTTTGTAAGAAATAGAGCGCAAGGGGCGCTCTAACCCTTAAGTATTAATCAGACGAGGGGTATAGACCCCAATAGTGTCAAGTACAGTCAGTACTGCAACGTCGGACTGGGGTTATCAAAAAATGATACCCCATAAGACAATGAATGACCAACAGCTGCAGATAATCCGCTACAAAATTACTCTCTCGAAAAACATGTGCAATCTGAACTTCCCATTCTCTCCCTAGCCAACTACATATTAGGGACACTATGATGAAATGGGGGTGATGCGCTCGCGCCGAATGGGTAATATATTTTGTCAGTGAGTTTAATATAAATAAATTTAGTCCATATATTATATAATATATAATATTACTAAGTGTTGAAAGAACACTTATTACAATAAGTAAGTCTAAACACTTCAAAATAAGATGAGTTGTTGAATCATGAACATTTTTATTGTTGTGGTATTTTCACATCTCTCATAATTTGTGAATGTATTTTTATAAAATTTTCATAACATGAACATATCCTAAAATTTATGTTATATACGTTTGACCTATCTTAGACAAATTTCTGGCTACGCCACTACCGGATGACAAATTTACTATCACTTCACAGACTACCTTGTTATCTAGTGAATCAAAAGTTTGAATTAACTAATTACTATGAAAACAAAGCAATGGAAAGTTTGGTAGAAAACTATAGTGAGAAAGTCACTCTGGTGTTGTATCCTTCTAGTTGCAAAATAGATCGACGAATGATATTCCAAATTTGTTAACTCATGATTTATATCGCGACAAATCCTTTGTTTTGGTTGAGCTCCTTTTCGAGTTACTCAACCTCACCTATAGAGGACTATCCAGACTCAAGAGGGAGAGTTTCCACATCCGGCTAAATAGAACGTCTAGTGCGTGCCGAATAGATTCCCTCTATTGGAATGCAATTCAATACGACATTGAAGCTCGATTTCACGCTCGAAATCCGTCCCACCTACGAAGCGGATATGACTCACCACAAAAAATTGGTCAAACAAATAAGATAAAACGAATCAGGTGAAAATTATGACTAAATATGTCTAAAAAATTTCCCAGCGAAACTCTCACAGCTAATAATTGACAAGAGGAAGCAATTCATGTAGAAAGTGTTTCGAGGAAAGATTGTTTCGACTAATCGACCGAATTCTAAGCTAAATTAATTTGGGTTAATATTTTCACCTGCCCAACTTTACATATATTCAACACCCTGCCTATCTTTTAAATCTATAACATTGTGGTCTCAACTATGCATCAAATTACTAAATTGGCCAAACTCTAGAGTTGACCATTATGTTGGACGGTCAAAACCGTTCACTAATAATCAACCCGCCACGTCACCGCCCAATCAGTCCAAATAATATTAAAAATTCAAAAAAACCCACATAATCTCCAATTTCATAATTTCCTATTTTTGCCCCAAAAAGAATTAGCACATCCCCACTTCGTCTAATCTTTCTCTCCTCCTTTTTTCAGCCCATTAGAGAGAGGAGGGATAATTCCCTAAATACACATAAAACTAAAACAAATTCCTAAACTACCACACTTTAAAAAAAATTTCCCAAAATACCTAAGTTTGGAGTGGTTCGAGTTTGAGAAACTCGAACTACTAACCGTTTCGAGTGTAGGAGACTCGATCTAGTCGTAGATCGATGATGTAAGTCTCGAACTGAACTCGAACCACTCCTTTGAAATTTCCAACCACCTTAACTTTGTGCTCGGTTATCCGATCGTAACAAAAAAATTTTTCATTTCGCATAACTTTTCGAGGACTACAACTTTTATAATAGAAATATTTTCAGAATATATGTGAAAATGTGAAAATTAAAGTTAAAGTTACTCCCAAAACCCCTTTATATTAAAAACTATTCCTATTTTGAAAATTTATTCCTAGTAAATGTTGTAGTACTCAAAAAGTTATGCAAAATATAAAAAACTTTGCGACGTTCGGATTGCGGAGCACAAAGTTATGATCCTCCAAAATTTGACAAATTCGAAAATTTGCTCGTTTATGGGTAGCAAATGATGTTTTCAAGGAAGATAGCCATCCAAAAATTTCTCGTTTGGAAAACTATTGCTCTTTTGGCAGAAATTTCCTATATTTAAAAAAATTTCATGTGCCTTCGCCTCGAGAAAAAGTCATTTGTTACCCCTAAACGAGCAATTTTTCGATTTTGTCAAACTTTAGAGGATCATAACTTTGTGCTCCGTAATCCAAACGTCGCAATATTTTTTTTTATTTTGCATAATTTTTTGAGTACTACCACATTTACTAGGATAAATTTTTCAAAATAGGAATAATTTTTAATATAAGGGGTTTTGAGAGTAACTTTAACTTTAATTTTCACATTTTCACATATATTCTGAAAATATTTCTATTATAAAAGTTGTAGTCCTCGAAAAGTTATGCGAAATGAAAATTTTTTTTGCTACGATCGAATAACCGAGCACAAAGTTAAGGTGGTTGGAAATTTCAAATGAGTGGTTCGAGTTCACTGAACTCGAACCACTTCAGCCCCACATGGTTCGAGACTTTTATCACCGATCTACGACTAGATCGAGTCTCCTACACTCGAACCGGTTAGTAGTTCGAGTTTCTCAAACTCGAACCACTCCAAACTTAAGTATTTTGAGACATTTTTTTAAAAGTGTGGTAGTTTAGGAATTTGTTTTAGTTTTATGTGTATTTAGGGAATTAATCCGAGAGAGGACGGTGCCACGGTGGTGGCAACCCCATAAGTGGCAGCAAACCTCGACCCTCCCTGGCCGTTATCGCCATTGTTGGGGCACAGGGAGAAAAACCTTCGACGCTCTACAAGCTCAAATCTCTAACTAAGAATTGGGGGAAAACCTGTCGCTGGAATCGAAGCACACGGCTGTCGGTTCCTCCTCATCTTCCTCGAATCATATTGCACCGCATCAGCGTCGATCTACTAACCGTCTCTGCTTCTCCAATCATGCTTTCATTCCTTCCCCGTCAAGCACTAGAAACATCAAAAGCTTTACGAAGGGGAACAATGTCGTGCAACGATATATGTGGTTGCACCACCGGAGATAAGACTTGAGTTCTCGTTAATTTACCTAGCGGATTCATGGCCCGTTATCACCAATCTCTTCTTCGGATCCTTCTCCCTTTTCGGAACCGAAACCGCCGGTAACGCCATCACCCTCGCCGTTCCCCTTGACTTGCGAGGAAGACATGAGGAATAGTGAGAGAAATGGCGAGTTGAATATAGTCAATTGGGAGGAGGCCATTGAATTGGGCCAAGGAAGAAGCTCTGATTTCCCTGCTCCAAAACGCAGCAAGAGTAAGAATTAGGGATGAAAATGGGCGGGTTTGGGGTGGGTTTGGGGCGGGTTTGTTTAAACCATTCCTATACCCATTTTCAAATATCCAAACCCATACTTGCACCGTACCCATGCGCGGAATGTTTTGCAAACCCATCCCCATACCCGTGGGTTTCGGGTACCCATGGGTAATACTCATACTCGTACATCCAACATTATTATACTTAAAACTTACAAGAAAAGTTTTAATTATAACTCTAAACGAATATATTATATCATGAAGTCAACAAAACACGGTCATTTCTTTAATATGGTTCAAAGAATATGATCCTAAAATATCCATTAATACATAATATAGAATATAATATTTTTCAAATTATTATGTTCTAACTCTGATACATCTACTAAATAATAATTAACTAATATAATCTTGTTGACAAGAGGAAAGTGAAAGAGTGAAATGAGAATTGAGAGAAATGAATTAGGTTTTGATTAAGGTGTCCACTCAATTGCATTTCTACTATTTATTTTCTCAAGTTATCCGCATAATCATTGATAGATTATAATTTGACACACATATTTTTTTTATATATGAAGAAATTATCTTGGTGGGGCGGGTATGGGGATGGGTATGGGGCGGGGGAGGCTAAAACCATACCCGCCTCATACCCATCAAACTTTTTGCGAGTTTTACCCATACCCGCCCCATACCCAATCAAAGCGGCGATAGGTTTGATTGCCATCTCTAGTAAGAATGGATTGGGAGTGGGGATTTTGGAGGAGCAGAGAGGGATGCACAGGAGAGAGAAGGAGCATTGATACTTTTTTTTTAAAAATACTTTATTTATTTAATTTAATTATATAATAATTCAAAATTATAGATTATGTGTAATTTATGAATTTCTTAAGTTATTCAACGAAAAAAAGAATTTTTAAAGTTTATTTGTGCTAATTGTGCGGTGACGTGACGGGTTGACCGTTAGTTCACGATCTTGACTATCTAACATAACAATTAATTTTTGGATTTGGCCAATTTAGCAAATTTGATGTATAGTTGAGGTTAGGGCTGACTATTTGGTCTGGCTATTTGGTTTTATCCGAAACCTGACCGTATAACCCGGATTGTACCGAAACCGGATAGCAAACAATCCAATCCAATCTTTGGGCTTAGTTTTGAGGTAAAAGACCGGATAAAGACCGGATAAGAGAGCCCAACACCCAAAACTTAACCAACTCCTCACCCTTTGAGTCCTCAGGCCACTCAAATCCCCACAAACTCAATATAAAATCAAGATCGAATTGGGACCAGACCGAGTCAAAACCAGACCGGATCAAGATCGGACTGTATACAATCTAATCTTTGGTCCTTATATTCCGAAAAAGATCGGACAGAAACCGGATCAATTCGAACTAATTTAGCAGGATCGGACTGTATAGCCATCACTTTAGATCACAATATTATAGTTAAAATTTTTGATTCGGACGATAGTGTGTCCAAAATTTGGGATAGGCGAATATATTAATCCTATTAAATTGGGGGCAGAGGCAGACAAAGATTGGTCACGGCACTTCCTACTAGTTCCCCGCATCAGTCTACCAATTTCGGGGCAGTCCAAAAAACCGAGACATCTCCACCGTCCATTTGAAATTTCAATGTTGCCGCTCAACAGTTC